TCTAGATGACATCTCATAGCCTGGGTATTTGGATTTTTACCTCATAGTATCATCCCAATCCAACAAATAAACAACACAAGAACATATCCAGAGTATAGGAAACCAAATAAAAATATAATTCATGAAAGCATATAACAAATTCAGCAATAAAGCAACAAATAAACAAACACCCAAAAAAAAAAGAAAATAAACAAAATCTAGGACTGACTTGCATGGATCCCCAGCAAAGTCTTCAACTACCGCGTCTAGGATTTTCATCGAAGCGCGAAGGAGGCGGAAAGAAGAGTCACCGTCAATGTTATTTCTCCCAAGAGAGGGAAAGTAAATGATGAGTAAATTGAAATGGAGGAAAAGAACATGTTCATTGCAACCAAGAGAAAAGGGAAAGGAAGTCAATTACGTAATGGGAAGGTATTAGCACCCCTCACATCTATGGTACTCCATAGGATCCACTCAAGTTTGTACTAATCAAAAGGGTGTGTAAAAATCTAAAGCCTAATGCTAAGGGAATGTATGCAAAGTATATAGAAAAAGAAATTTTTATTTAATTGTGCTCACCGCGGTTGCAAACATTTGTGTCTATGTACCACCTTTCATGCAATAGGGGATCAGGGCACTCGTAGTTCACCTAAAAAGGTGTTTTGGTTTGTTGTGTGTTTTTTATGAACAATGCTAGGGAAGCGTGTCATTTTTGAAAAGGTTTCAAAGAAAAATTCTGAAGGCATCCTGAAGGCAAAAGGTTTGAATTGGTTTGTGTTTTTGTAGGTAATATGATAAATGGATCCCATTGCTAGGATACTTATCATCCCTCTACTTTGTGAAAACATAATTTGGGATTTGTACCCTTTCATCCTTCCCATTACTAAAGACTCTTGGAGGTGTGGCTCTCATCGATTATTTATTAAGTGTTTTAAATTTTTGAAATGAGAAGTTTTTGTTTTAAAGATGCATAAAAGGGAATGAAAAAGTCAATGGGAGACAATAGATCCTAATGTTGTCATATAATGATGGTTCTAAGGTTAGGATGAAAGGGAAACTTATACCTAAGTTAGCATGCAAAGATGGACCTAAGATTAAGGTTAGGGAAGCTACTTAATGTTATCATGCATGGTTTATAACCTAAGGTCTATTTAGTTCACATCTTAAATAAGATGAAACTAAAATCCTAAGAGAACATATTATTCACACAAAGAAGAAGAAAGAAGAGCACAAGAAAAACATGAATTCAAAAGGTAATTAAGTGTCAAGGCTTAGAATTAACAAGTTTGTTGAAGCATACAAGATGGAAGACTAAAAGGGTAGTAGCAACATCAAGTAGTTACTTAAGAAATAAAGTCATGAAGATGGAAGAAGAATTGTCAAGTATCAACCAAAGATAGGTCAAAGAAGTCAAGCAAACAAGGAAGCAAATTCAAGAAGATTTAGGCAAGTAATAATAAAATAATGAAAGCATAAACATGATGTTATGGAATATATGACTTGTGCAATAAGTTAACTCAAGATGAGGTTCAAGAGTAATAAAAGAAGTTTGTAGAACTCCATACACAAAGCAAAGTCAAACAATTTGATGAACAAACAACAACATTATCCAAGATAGGAATCACTTATCCTAAATCAAACAAGATGAGAAAAGATCAAGAAATGATACACTTATATGTCATGAGGCAGTAGAAAACTCCCTAATATAGCATCAACCTTAGTCTCTAAACTTTAAGAAATGCTATCAAGTTAGCATACTCAAAGTTCAAGGAAAACTAGCAATACATAAGATCAACATCATCCAAGTGAGTAAGAGATGAAAGCAAGCTAAGGAAAGTCAATATGAGTGAAGTGCCTTGTATAATAAGCAAGCTTTGAGATTAAGACATTAGTAGTCAAGATATGTGACCTAAAACATTATGCAAAAAGTTGGTTCAAGAAAACAAGTCAAACAAGTAAAGACGTAGTCCATCGAGTAAGACAAGCAATATATACTATGTCATCAAGAAAATGAGCAAATATTGAGGTACTTAGGTGTTATAGGCTGTATCAAACACAAAGTAACATCAAGAGGACTTGGCTCAAGAGTAGGTAAAGAATTCAATAGGCATCATGTTCAAAAGCTCAAATAAGAAATCAGATATAGCTTCTAAAGTGTCACCATATTGATTGACAAGTGAATGCCTAACCAATGATCATAGAATCATGGAAGAATTGAGATGAAAATGGAAGATGAGATCAATGTTTCAAGCATAAGATTTTGATCTCAATCCCCTAGGATTTTCATCAATTAACAATCAAGAACTAGCTCAAAGAAAGAGATGAATGTAGCTTCTAACTTGTCATCATTATGGGTTAACAATTGAATGTTAATCAAAGAAACAAAGGAGAAAGATAAAGAGAGATTATAAGTCAAGGTCAGAAACAACCTCAAATGACTCACATCAATTTGGACTCATGATTATCAAATAGAAATTGCACAATTGCATTCCAAACCAAAGTCTCAAAGATGGATGAAAGTTTCAAAGATTGAAACATGTAAAGAAATAATGTTAGGTGCTTGAATTGTTCAACAAAGTGAGTTAAAATTCTTAACATGTTATGAGAATAGTAGAAATAAGAAGTAATTTTATTCCTTAAGGTTGCACCAAGTGCATTCCTTGTATCTCAAAGCAACCAAGTAATTAAGCAAAAAGCATGTTTAAAATAGCAAGGCAAAGTAAAATAAATCAAATAAAGTCAAATGACTCTCAAGTCCTCAAGGGACTACCCTTGAACCCATCATCCCTTAAAAATTGATTCACAAACAAAAGATCAAGAGAATTGGCTAAAAAAAACCAATTAGAAAACCTTTAAGGTTTCACAAGATAGGTACTTGGTGTGCACAAGAAGGATTAATCAAATATTGATCTTAAAATGACCTATAATTTGAATTCAATTGTATGATCCTTAAGCACACGTTTACCCATGTTGTGACCAGAGTTTAGCATCAAAACATGTTCAAAAATTACCAAATACAGGCACTATTTGTCAAGACAAACACCAATGGACAAGTTTTCAATTTAAATAGAGAAAAAATAGAAAATTGATATCAAAATTAAAATTAAAATCATGGATATGATATTCACACATTTACAAGCCTGGAACATCTCTTAATACCATTTAAACATTGAAGGAAGTGGGAAAATAACACCAAAACTTGAAAACTAGCCATAAAAGGCGTTCAATGAAGCACACTTGAAAAACAATTTTCAAACAAAAATAAAATCAGCAAGAAAAATTATTTAAAATTATTTTAAGGACCTAAACACATATAAGAACATATATAAATTATTTTAGAATTTTCAGATCATGGGAAGGTGGAAAATTAAAATGAAATTTCTAACAAAAATAAGTGAAATTTGCAAAAGACACTTAAATTTATCAAATTTTAAAATCATAGGAAAATAAATGATAAAAATAAGATAAAAAAATCTTGGATCCACTTAACAGCATATAGAACACATAAAGTATTCTTTTTTTAATTTTTTAGATTAACGGAGAATTAAAAATAAACTAAAACATTAAACTAGTAAAGAAAACACCTATTTAATCACATGAATTAATTAATTAACCATAAAAATAAAAATGAAGAAATAAAAAATATTTTCAGAAAATAGAACCCAAAAGAAGCTTGACATATTTGTTTGATAATTTTTAGATTAGTGAAAATATTAAAGTAAAATTGATAAAACAATTGAAACAAAAATGAAAATTAAAATAGTCACGGATCTATTACACCTATTATATCTAAAAAGTGCTGCAAAAAACCTTTAAACATGTTCAATCAGAAACGGATAACTCATCATCTCTGTCGTTATAACAAACCCTGACGCGTTTTATTAAACAGTTTCTTGTCTAATGTTTAGAGCTTCATATCTCTCTAAATACTTCATAAAAATCAAAAGTATAAACATCAAATTATTCTACAAACTTCAAGGAACATCATAGAATCAATAATTTTCATAAATTAGGCATGCATCATGGAGAGATATGAATAGCAAGATCACGGTGTTGTAATTGGTTTTAAATTGAGAGTCACTACCCTTAATTTTTATCCTAAGGAAGGGAATACAAAGGATAACCCTAACGTAGACAGAGATTTTAAGTTATTGACTCGGTTTTAGACGAAGTGAAGGTGTTACGTACCCCTCATCTACTTGCTCACAAAGATACTAGGGTTGGAAGCGCAATGGGTTTTAGTTTTTATTAGGGGAACTCGCCACGATATTAGGAATCAGAGTCTCAATTCGTAGTTCGTAGATTTAGTTGGTGTTTTTTAGAGGATTTGCGTAGAATTGCTTTTGATTTATCCTTGAACCTTGTTTGGATTTGAAAAAAAGAGTGATCGTAGACGCAATTCGCAGTTAATTTTGAAAGAAATTATCCTTAATCCTTTTTCGAAAATGTTCTTGAGGTTTTGATTATGTTAGTGAAAAAATAGATTTTGATTGGTTAACTATATTAAAACGTAAAGCGGGAGAGTCTGATATAGTATCCTCATCACGTGGTCAGATATTAGCCACGTATTGCTCGCGGATAGAGTATTTAATGAGTTGCGTGAACTTTAATATTTTAATGTAAAATATTAAATTAATTTAATTTGATATCTTGTTATAATAGAATAAACGATTAAGTAAGTCAGATTAAAAATGTTAAAACGAAGCGTGCAATTTATCAATTAAATGAATTTAACTTAATTAAATAATTTGAGCTAATAATAAAAACTAAACTAATAATAAAATGGAGGTGTCAAGTTGAATTGAGATTATAGTGAATAAAAATGTATAGAGATATGGCCCAAGGCCCAAACCAAATAACTAACACTAATTCACCATATAATATAAATAAATAATTGAAAAGAAAAAATAATTAAATAGAGCATCCAGGCGGTGCTGATGCCTCTTCATGGCATTTCTTGACTTTCTAACATATGCGAGGAACCAACAGTACCACGACACGTGGAAAGGTTAAAATAAAAATTAAGATGCATATATTAATAAACCAATACAATAATAACACACCAACCTCTTATTCTCTTTGCACGATAGTTTCTTAGTCCTCTTAATCACAGTGTTCATTTTCTGCAAAAAGCAAATAAAACCAAAACACACCAAAAATATTTAAACAAGAAATTCCACAATAAAAAAACAGGAATAACTCACCAGTCTTTTGAAGACGGAGGATCGGAGGCGGGAGGACGACGGTTGTTGGAGGGCGGTTTCGCAGAGGGGTGTTGTTGGAGTTTGAGAGCATCGCGATGGATTCGCGGTTGGTGTTGATGGCATCGGCGGTTGTCTCCACGGAGGATCTGTACTCGTGGTGGAGGGAGGTCGGTAGTTTCGAGGTATGCGACCGAGATCGGTACGCGGCTGCCGTAGTGATCGATGAGTAGGGAGGCGCACAGAGCTGTGATTGGAGATGGGTCGGTCCAGTGATGGTTGTGTTTTCATCACTGATAATTTCTTCCTCTTTCTTCTTTTGCTTTTCTTTTTCAAAACCTTTTATACCTCGAATGGTGCTTGATTGTGTAAGTTGTTTGAGGTTTTTTTGTTAGTTTAAAGCTTTAAAAAGGTTTTACTAGAAAATTGATATACACTTTTATGAAAGGGAATAGCAATGGTCTTTTATGGTGAGAATGATGTTACTTTGCATGTTTTGTGATGTTTATGGGTTGAAACTTGGTTTGAATTTTGAAGAAAAAGAAGAAGTTGGTTTGTTAGAAATTATGTACAAATGGTGTGGTTTTGTGAATCTGTTATGAAAGTTGGTAAGAGTTTGTGAAGTTGGTGTACTATGTGAATTGTGAGAATAAAAAAAGGTTGCCTCTGTGGGTTGTTTCTAAGTGAAAAGTGTACAAAAATAGGTTTTGGATGAATTATGTATCCTGTGATTCATTTGTTAGAAAATGGCCTCCAAAAAAGTTAATAAAAGTAATAATTTTGAAACGCAAACTACTATTGGATAGATGTTCATCATGGTTTGATCAATAAATAAATTGAAAGTAGTAGGATGACCTCATATGAAATCATCAGGCAAAAATAAAAATTAACACTAATAAGTTTGAAAAGCAATTTTGGAGTTGTTCTCTGATATAGTCAACAACCTTATAATAAACAAATAAAAAATAAAAACTCTAATTGTTTGGAAAGATAATAAATTTGGAGATGAAATTGTTGATGAATTGTTGATGAAAAATTAGGATGAGTCTTATTTATAGATTTAGAATTAGGTTAAAAATACTTAGTAAGTAAGTCAACCCAAAAACCAAAAGAAGCCCAAAGCCTGATTTTCAAAAAAGGAAAGAAAATTAGTAACAAAAAAACTAAAATAAAAAAGTTTAAAATGCATCACAAGAGGTTAGAACCAGCGACCTCATACTTGCAAGCTTCACTCTTTACCAATTGTGTTGTGTTACTGATTTGTAAATAAACTCAATTGAAAGTATATGAAGGTCAAGCAAATATTTATTTATTCAAAAATATAAATGATCTGAAATAAATCATTATATTTTTAAATAGGGTTGGAATCAGATATTTATAAAGATAAAAGAATATTATAAAACCAATATTCAAATTTTTTTTGACCGTAAAAATAAAAGGCGGGAGAATTTGGGGTATGACACACGGTACAAGCAAAGTTCATCAAAACTCTAAAATTGTAAAACATGAAGCAAGCTCAAATGCAACCAAAAATCCATCTCAAACCTATTGTTTGGCTCAGCTAAGCATGAATAAACAAGTTTTTAAACATCAACACCCTAACAAAATGAGATTGAAGTTCAAAGTAACTTATCTCAAGTGGAAAATAAATTCATGAATTCGTGAGCTACAGAGCTTCAGAAACCCATAAATCTTTCTACTTGCTCCAAGGATGATGAAATGAGTGAGAAATTAAAGAACACGCGAGAGAATTAAGAGAAATCTTGAAAACTTTGAAATGGAGGAAAATGTTTAGATATGGATTTTGCGAAAATAAGGAGGGTGTGTGTTGTAATGAAGCACAAAGGATCTTTATATAGAGTGTCAAAGTGAGGATAGAGAGGTCATTTCAAGCTTAGAGCCATTGGATGGCAAGATTGGGAGTTTTGGCAGAAAATTAAGTGAGAATGGCAAGTTGCATTTTGTGATGCGGTGGGAGAACTGACTTGAAGTTTTGCGTTTGTGTTCGCAAATGTTGCGGTTAGCAAGAGTCGCCACCGAATTTTCTTTTATCCAAAAGGAAAGGTAAAAAAGCACAGGAAAGACCTTTGAGATGTTTTCTTGAGTTCGGGGGGTAGATTATGAAAAGGGAAGGTGTTAGCATCCTTTTCATCCATGGTTTTCTATGAGCTATTAGTTACTTGTTTAGATCACTTGCTTTGCTTTTGAAATTGTTTGAAATGGTGCTTTGTGTGGTTTTAAAAGTATTTTGAAAAGAGGTCATCGTTTAGGCAATCTTTGTAATGATTCTTATTCGTAAGAATGTATACAAAGATATTTTGTCTTTTGAAAAATGTTTCAATGTTTTGAAAGTTATTTGGAAATGTTTTGAAAATGTGTGTGTGTTTGTTTGAAAATAGCAAGGATTGTTTGCAAATTGATCAAGTAACTAGAAGCTTATCTACCTACTCAAAAGTCTTTCCTATACATTTTTATTCCTTTGACATTGTTAACCTACCATTGTTTTGGTAGATAACCCTATCTTTGGATGTTAAACGGGACAGGCGTGGGTCATCGTATAACCATGATAGCAATAGTGCCAAGTATCTTAGCTTACTTAAGGGACTAAGATCATTTGTTTTTAGGCAACCTTTTGATAGTGTCATCGAGGGACTATGATCTTTTGTTTTGTTTTGTTTTGTTTTGTTTTGCCAAGATACCTAGCATGCATACTGTTCTGGACTGGGCCCGACAGGCCCAATAGCATTGATAAGGCCCAATCCAAACGGACTTACTGAGGACCACGCCGACCAAAGGGGCACAGTCGTGCCCGACGTGCTCCCTGAGGTTGCTTGCTCGACCTCCAACTGACCGGCTCGACATCCTGCTGTCCAGCTCGACATCACCTCGAGCACCCCAACTAGGGCAGACTCAGTCCACTGCACTCCCAACGAGACCCCGAAAAGACCGCGTATATGTCCGCCCGCACTTCACGCAGAACATCCAGGGAGGGGACCACGTGCGGGTCCCCACTACGCACGTAGAACCTGGCAGTTCATCCATTGGGCCAAACCTGCCCGGCCCAATGAAGGAACCTTGGCCCAGCGCTGGGGGCTATAAATACCCTCTGTTTCCAGAGGGTCGGGTAATCATCATTCTACCCATACTTACTATTGCCTGCTCGTGCTCTTACTTACTGTAGCATCGGAGTGTCTTGCAGGTACCCCCCCACCTCGTTCAAAACTTTCAGCTCGGAGCCAGCCGTGATGGTCCAAGTCTGATCAGGTCAGATCAGTGGCGCCGTCTGTGGGAATCTAGCTTCCCCGTCTTACAAACAACTCAAAAGACCAAAGCTCATATTCAACTACCTGTCATGGCTGATCCAGCTCGCGATGAGCAGAACGTCCGTGTCGTCGACACTAATAACGGCACGGCGGACAAGAACGGACATCTCGACAACACCGACAATCCCGGCCACAACACCATTCATGCAACAACCGTCCCCGGAACTTCCTCCTACAGGGACGGAGCTACTGCATCATCCTCCTCGCTCCCACCACCACTCGAGGACGACCCGGCGGCCCTCGCCCACTACAGAGCCGCCCGGTTCCAGGAAATCCCCGTCCCCTCCGGGGCGGACGCCACAACACAAGCGTTGTTCGCAACAATTAATCAAACGAACTATCTCATCTTCGCCCAAGGAGAGAGATTAAAGGCGCTTGAAGACGAGCGAAGACCCCCGAGGAGGCATCGGAGACCACATACTCCCCCTCCTCGAGTGGCTGAAACTCGACACCCTTCTCCCCCGCGGAGACACTACAGGGAGATATCTCGAAGCCCATCTCCCCGGCCAAAGCAGAGGCGACCCTATTTGGAGAGACAGCCTGTCATCCCTACCGGAGAACCCAGTCGCGACCCGGCGAGGCACGACAAGAGACACGCCGGAGACGGGCGCGTAACATTCACCCGACGAGCATCACGCTCGAGGGAGACTCAGCACGACCACGACCGCCGTGCCAGACAATACTACAGGTCCCCATCTCTGTCTCCGGAGAGGAGCGACGAGGACGACCCCCGCGGTCCCCTGTCGCAGGCCATCATGGATGCACCCATCCCCCCGGGAATGGAGAAGCCCCACATCTGAAGGAGTACGATGGAGTCGCGGACCCGGTCGACCACATTGACGGGTTCGAGGCTATGCTCCATTATCATAATGTCGGGGGGCCCATCAAGTGCCGTCTTTTCCCCACGACTCTCAGGAAGGCGGCCATGGACTGGTATAAGGGACTCGCCCTGGGCTCAATCACGTCGTGGCGGAACCTGAAGAACCAGTTCATCAGTTCCTTCACAGCTTCTCGGCGCCATTCGAAGACCGAGGCGGCCCTCGAGGCCATCATCCAAAGACAGGATGAAACCTTGAGGGAGTTCATCAACCGCTTCAACCGAGAAGTAATACAGGTCCCCTGCGCGGACCATATGAAAAGATACTTGCTGGAGAGGGGGCTCCTCCCCGACACAGAATTCAGAAAGGCTGTGGGTATCGAGCCACCTCCGACATTTGATGCCCTCCTCGATAAGGCCCGAGCATATATGGACTACGAGGAGAGGGAGGCGGCCAACAAAGCCCGAGATTCCAGGGCTCGTGGCCCCAACAACAGCTCACGCCAAGAGCCTCCTCCTCGACGAACCGGGGAGAAAAGGAAGGAAGACAGACCCCAGGAAGTCCGGGAACAAAGAGGACCCTCGGGACGTTTCACCGAGTACACTCCGTTCACAGCTTCCCGCGAGCGCATCCTGGCGGAGTGTGCCAGCACCGATTTCAAGGACGGCGGTGTCAAACATCCCCGACCTGCTCCTGCCAAGCCCGGGGCGGACAAAAATAAATACTGTCAATACCATAGAAGTCATGGTCATCTGACAGAGGACTGCGTCCACCTCAAGGACGCCATTGAAACCCTCATCAAGGGAGGGAGGCTCGCGCAGTACCGGCGAAACGACGCTCCTCGTCGTGACGCCCATGAAGCCAAGGAGCCAGAAGAAGACGCCCGACCATCAGACGAGTCGGTGCCTATCCAGACCGCCTTCTCGGTGACCAGGCCCTAGGACTTCGACATTCCCGAGCACCTGCAGGAACCGCTGACAACGCACAGCAGGTGGGAATACTTTCCCTCCGCCATGGTCATTAATGGGGGCGGGTTCAACGACCTCACCATCAATTCAGCTAAGAGGAAGTTGGACGAGCTGGTCGACGCGGCTCCCCCGTAAACAGTAACGTTCGAAAGGGTGAAGGGCAGGTCAGAGCCCATCACCTT